TTTGGACATAAAAATTACAGCCGGCAGACGAACAGGTCAGTGCCCTGTTTGGAGAAGCAGAAAGAAAGAAAAAAAAAAGAGGGCTAAAATTCAAACGTGAGACTTCCACTTCCTGTCTTTGTGCTTTAGCATGCATATTTGTGAGAAGCTGCAGAGCTGGAGTCAGCCAAAAGACAACATCAATCACTCAGAGCAGCACAATGTGGGCCTTGTGTCTGAGGACCCACCCAGCCTGAAGGACACATCAAAGCAGCAAATGACAAGTCAGGGGACCATCGGTGATATTTCTCCAAACAAGCTGATTTTTTTTTCTTCTTTCTTTGCATTTTGCTTAACTTTATGTTGATGCAGCTCATCTAACTCGTGCCGCGGGATAGTTTCCTAATATTTTCTGTGAAAATAAACATTCTTGATTTTTTTTCTCAAAGTATGCACGAGCAAAGAAAATACAGATTTTATGTCCCGATATAGTTTGCATGCTTTAGCTACACTAGTCGGAATGCAGCCATACACTCACTCACACACACACACACACACACACACACACACACACACACACACACACACACACACACACACACACACACACACACACACAAAAGGTGACGGACACCTTTTTGCTTTATGCACGCTTCATCAGTTGTTCAACTGCACAGGGAGGTCCCTTGCTCGCCGTGTTGTTGCTGCGTCTAGTCTCTTGTTAGAGAATTGATGACACCGTCTTCAGAAAACAAACAAGGCGGGAAGCTAAAAGGTGGTCACTCACCACGGATCTGTGACCCAGAGACATCAGGGGCCACGGCAACATGCGAGGCGCGCTGCACACACACACACACACACACACACACACACACACACACACACACACACACACACACACACACACACACACACACACACACACACACACACACACACACACACACCTCACCTCCTGGAATGTGCGGTGGTGTGTGTGCGCACACGCTCTTGTTTGTGTTTCAGTGATACCACGGCTGGAATGTGACTGTCTTGTGCCTGAATATGCACCTTTCAGTGTCAGGATCCTGCAGCGTTAACGATGACCCGTGTGCAGAACAAAAACAAAACAAAGAACCCTCTCGGCACGTTTTTTCCCCCCGTCCCGCTTTTACGTCGTGTTTGTAGCACGCTGCTTGATGCCAAGATAAATGTTCCACATTTCAGCATGAAGGGATCGCACAGAGGAGGCCTGTGAGTGTGTGGGTGAGTGAGTGAGTCAACGGTGGGGGACGTGACACACACGCCCTGTAGGCGCTGTCTTGCCAGAGGGAGACTCCTGTCACTCCTTGCTCTGACTTACACTTCACATCACAACCTGCATGGTCCGCGGCCCCCAGGCCTCTTCAACACACACACACACACACACACACACACACACACACACACACACACACACACACACACACACACACACACACACACACACACACACACACACACACACACACACACAAAACAAACCCCTTCTCCGGGGCCCCGAGCCTTGTTCTGGGAGCTCAAATCCGATAATTGCAGGGCTGACAGTGATAGCCAACATACGAGACACCCTCACCTGGTTGCAAAGAATGAAAACATCTACTGTCAGCATGGAGCTACAACTGAAAACTGAAAAGTGTGTGTGTGTGTGGGGGGGGGGGGGGGGTGGGGGGGGGGGGGGGGGGGTCAGCTATGGAGAAAGTGAGCAACAACAAAAAGATGACTAACGTATCAGGTCTGTGGCAACCCTGCATTAAGTTTATTTACACATCAAATAACTCTTTGCAAGGATTTATGAGGCTTTAAAAATAATTTTAGGAACTCCCGTTCATTGTTTAGATGAGAGAAAATGGGAAATAATTAGTTTTCACAGGCTGATTCTTTTACTTTTTTGGGTGGTCAGGTTGGGTATTCTGCTTGCCTTTTGTCTGGATTCGGACTGAATGACTCCAAAGAGCATGTAGCTTTTAATGTCTGCAGGTCGTTTAGTAAAAACTCCACCCTGCCTGTAAGTAGGGCGGATATCTCAGTTTCTTGTTTCTCCGACAGTGGTGGGAATAGTTGTCTTGGGTTTGTTTTTAAAGTTAAAAGTCCCAACCGGTGTAACTCCGTTTAAAAAAGTTTAAAGTTTAAGTATGTATAATAAGAAACATGTCATTTTATTTACCTCAAATTATTTTGTTTTTCTTTTTTTTACGAAGGGACACATCAGTTTATAGCGGTATCAGAAATAAAAGTTAGACTAAATCGGTCGGATATCGGTACAACAGCTGATAACAAACATCCCAAGTTCCTATGAAACAAGGCACGGCAGCTTTATTTACATAGCTCATTTCATCACAAAGGCAATTCAATGTGCTTTCCATTAGCAAAAATAGCAAGAACATTAAAATCAACATGACAGAAAATACAACAAAAATGAATAGAAACAAAGTTAAAGTGTGAGCAGTTACAGTGCAGAATGTGCAGCATATGAACAGTCATTCAAAGGCCCATGACAATTTTGATGTAAATATTTATAGGGTTGGCACATCTGAGGTCACGCGGAAGCAGATTGGGATCTGTGTGCAGCATGGTAGCTAAAAGCAGCTTCACCCTGTTTGGTTCTGATCCGGGGTTCTACCAACTGACTGTTTCCTGAGGATCTCAGAGCCCTGATGGGCATATATACCTGAAGGAGATCTGACGTGTTTTCTGGCCCCATGCATTGAGTGATTTTTAAACAAGTAGAAGTACATTGAAGTTGATTCCGTAGTTCAGTGTTTCCCAACCCTGGTCCTTGGGGCACTGTCCTGCATGTTTTCCATGTTGCTCTTTTAAACAGCAGTACTTCCCTGCTACACCTGACTTAGATGATTGAGTGATTAACAGGTATCTGCAGCACTTGATGTCTTCCTGACGAGCCAATGTAAATCAGGTGTGGTGAAGCAGAGACATGAAAAACATGTAGGTCAGTGTGCTCCGAAGACCAGGCTTGGGAAGTAGTCCATGCTTTTCGTTCTTTTTTAAACACAGAAACAGTTTTGTTTACCTGTTTGTAGCTACGGTTTCGCCGACAGCTGCCGGCTTCTTCAGGCTGATGCTGATGCATCAGCGTCAGCCTGAAGAAGCCGGCAGCTGTCGGCGAAACCGTAGCTACAAACAGGTAAACAAAACTGTTTCTGTGTTTAAAAAAGAACGAAAAGCATGGATTTACAAAGACACGGCAAGAACACACCTAAGATTGGGAAGTAGTGCTGTAGTTTACTGGTGACCAGTGTAGAGATTTAAGAACAGGAGTGATGTGCTCAGTTCTCTTGGTTCTCGTTAAGACTCTGGCATCAGCATTCTGAATGAGCTGCGGTTTCTTCACAGCTTTTTTGGGAAGACCAGTCAAAAGACCTGGAGAGGAACGCATTAATGAGTTTCTCTAGGTCAGATATGTAGAAGAACACTTTAGTTGATTTAAAAATACGTATCAGAAATTCTTCTGAAGTCAGCAATGTTTATGTACATTTTAATATTTTCAATTTTTATAAGTTATTGTTGACTAAAGAGTGAGATGATTTTTTAGCAGTTTTATAACATAATAATAATAATAGTAATAATATTTTAAGCTAATTATTAGCATTAGCAATTTCACCACACAGCAGAAACTCATCCAGGCTTGTGTTATTTGTGGAGATAAAACATCAATGTTGAGTCAGTGGTAGAGTCACGTCGCTGTTAACCAATCTGAGGCGAGATGTCCAAATATCAGGAAATAAGACTCCAAAACCTGCTGTCTTTGTGATGTCACTGCTAGTTCCTGGAAATATTGCACTGGTGTTTACCCACCCCCCCCCCCCCACCCCCCCCCCCCCCCCCCCTCCAGTACGACTAGAAACCACTGCAAGTGTATTGATTAAACAAGGGTCCCACACCTTTACATTTTGACTGTTGAATTAGCAATCAATTAGTTTTATTGATACTTTTGAAAACAATAAATAACTTAGTGTTGAAATCCTTTATTAGGAAAAGCCAGTTGTTGTTGTTAAGGCTAAAAATAATTTAAACAAACAGTAAATTATTTTGTAATTTCTGAACCTCAATAGACTTCAAATGGTAAAGGCAAACAAGTGTCAGGAAGGGATTTAACTTGTCAGAAAAGTGTGCAGTTTAAGGATTCACCAACCATTTGTTTGAACATAGTCAGAGTGGAGATGGTTCAGTATGAAAACGTCGTTCTGAGTAAGATGAAACACTGAAAAAAAGTTTATGTGCATTACTTCAATTAATATAAAGATATTTCAAGTTGAAGTAAATTTATTAAGTTATTTCCGTTACAGATGGGGTCAAATATTAGCAGTTGGCAGTAAAGCTTCAGACAACTTCTGGCCTTCCCTTCAACTAGGGAACTATTCTGGTTGGAAAAAGAGAGGCTGAACTGACCTTCATTTATCAAATACTAAGCTCCTGCTGACAGAGGAGAACTAGAGAGCCAGTTTGTTTACAGCCGAGACCCTGTGGGATAGAACGGATGACAATATTTGCACATTTACAAAGAAATACATGAAGTTTCTCTAACAACATGAAGCCCACAGTTAAGTTAAGTTAAATGACATGTATGATGGGATATCTAGTTTATTACACAACCTTTGACCCATCATCATCATCATCATCATTATTATTATTATTATTATTATTATTATTAGTAGTAGTAGTAGTAGTAGTAGTAGTAGTAGTAGTAGTAGTAATAGTAATATTTTTATTCAAGAACTGAAGGCAGAACTAAGATTTGAAGGGCCTACAATAACATTTCTCAATGTTGTTGCGCCCCCTGGTGGCAACATTTTATAAGGCAACAAGCTTATGAATTTAGAGGATGTGAACTTTGTGAAACCAACAGAAGCTAACAGAACCTGGCCCTGTGTTTTCTTGTATTTTGACCTGAGATAAGATTGTCTAGGGAAAAAAAGAAAAGAAAATAGGAACGGGAAGGCCTGTCTAACAGGGTGGACTGTGATTGGTCAGTCCGCTCACTCCCACTTTACAGCCTTCGAATCCAAGTTGAAGGTGAAAGTCTTAAAAACGACTCGCCGCTCAGGTGACTTCAGTTCGGGGAGCCATGTCGGTCTTTCGTGAGGTCACGCTAGCTGCCCCTGTAGCTGTCTTTAAGTTGACGGAGGATTTCAACAACGACCCGTTTCCTGACAAAGTGAACCTCGGAGTGGGAGGTGGGTTTTACGCTGTTAACCATGGTAACGGTATCCAGGGGCAACAAGCCTATCCGAGTGGCTCCGTCAGCCAAAGTTAGGACTTTTACAACGTGTTACTTTGACATATACTTCATAATAATTTCAAAGAACGCAGACACTTTGTGTTTTAAACATGTTTCATTAGGAAAAATGCAACTAATCAAAAATATGAATTTTTGTATGAAATCAAACTACGGTGGCTCTGAAAGGTCAAGCGCAGTCGCAGATTTAACTAAATATCACACAAACTCTTGAAAGTTCTCCCATTTTTTTTCAACTGTCATGAACATAGTGAGTATTAATGTAAAGAAAACACTTGAGATATTTTAATAATGTTGTTGGAAGTATGCAAAGCTCTAAATGAAACTGGTGATAGCTCAATAATATATGATTTTTTGGGTCAAAAAAAGGAAATGATCATTTTGAGCATATATAAATCATCTTCACAAGAAAGACAAACACTGAAAATGCTTGAATTTGATTTTAAGCAAAGATGTAAAAACTCTACTATTTGCACCCTACAATGAATCATGTCACTGCTGAATCATTCTTGTCTTTCTTCCATTTCACTGCCATCCTGGAATCTTAATCCTGGTTTGGGACTGAAGAGTTGATTGCGTTATTTTGTCATTAGAAGAAAAAAACACCAGACTTCTAGTTTTAAATATGTATGGCTGCTTTTTCCTTTGAGTGAATAAATGAGACATTTCAGTCGCTACAGATGTTTTCTCTTATCAACCTCTGATATAATAAGTCTTACTGGTGTGTGGAGCAACATGTTGCTGTTGTGGCAGGACAAGGCTATTCACTGAGTCCCATGACTACTTCTGGATGGATTCTGAGGTCATTTAATCCCCAAGGCGCAACACAACAGATGATGAAATGCCACTGCAAGCTGGTTAATAGGCCACACTGGAGCAAATAGTTCATAAACGACAAAATGACAAGCTAGATTTCTCTGTTTCAAGGCTTTTGCATGAGCATATGTTTTTTTTTAAGTTATTTTATTCAAAAGACCAGCAAAAAGTGTGTTCTGCTTGATAGGTAGTAATGAGGTAGATGATCCCCGTTCTGAGGATAAAGAGCTGATATTGTCCTTGACTCCTTATCAGGTGGTGACACAAAGTTCAACTGGCAAAATAAAAAAACAAGTTTAAAGTGTTTGCTATCAAGTCTTGGGAAAGAAATTCACTCTGCTGGTTTTTGAACTGGTTCAGACAACAAAAGTCGATATTTGATGTTATACGTTTTAATTAAATTTAACTTGCCTTAAGAGCTACAGTTTTCATCCTTTCAGGAATTACGTGGGATTCTTTTAGAAATCCGTAACTCTGATCTTGGACTGTGATGTAATGTAGGAGATTTCTTTTGATGAGCCCGCCCCTGTCCTGTAGAGCCACATGTGATTCAAAATGGGCGCTGCTCTGCGTTAGCCAATAGCGTTAGCCATCCGTTTACATACAGATGTCAATCACAGAGCATGCATGCACGTTTGTGGACATACCTAGACTGATGCAGGGTTAGTGATACTTCTAATAAACAACATAACGTGAGAATGATAATTGTGAAAGAGTGTTTTAGCTCTGTTGGCCGCCTAGAGGTGTGCATTCAGGAACGAGAGATGTTGCAGCCGTAACTGCAAAAGTAGGGAGGGGCTTCAAGGTGCAGTACATTAACGTTACTTGGTGCATTATTAAGCATTAATAAACTATAAATAAACTATAAATTAAAGCATTAACAACTGCTTAATATTATTGTTAATAATACATTACTAAGCAGACACCCCCACCTGGCCCTTTGTCCTAAGGACACTTAATATTTAACAATATCGAAAACATTATTAAAGGGGTCCTTTGCTTTTAAATGCTTAATAATGCACTAAGTGATGTTAATAAAGGGACCCTTATTGTAGTGTTGCCCGTTTTTCCTTCTCCAGATGATGCTTTTTGAGAAAAAATTCATTTTGATCCGTTTTATTATTGATGATGCTACACCTAAATGTTAACTGAGCCTCGTTGTCCAGAAATAAGTTATCGAGTCTTCTTTGGCAGATCGACCTGGTGAAATGTCTCACATCAGCTGCATGTGACCTGAAAAGAATCAGTCAAAATTTAACCACAGTTTATGATATTTCCAATACAGATTTACAAAAAAAAAAATACCATGAAAAAATGTGTTTTTCTTATTTCTGGCAGCCTACAGGACAGACGAATCCAAGCCTTGGGTTTTACCTGTGGTAAAAAAGGTGGAAAAGATTATTGCTCACGACGACAGGTTGAACCACGAGTACCTGCCCATCCTGGGCCTGCCTGAGTTCAGATCCTCTGCCTCCAAGATTGTACTGGGAGACGACAGTTCTGCCATCCAGGAGGACAGGGTGTGTGTTATAACACATTTATATATAAATCACCACACACTGCTTCCTAATCTTCTCACTCTCAGTATGACGGTTTGTGTGTGTGTGTGTGTGTGTGTGTGTGTGTGTGTGTGTGTGTGTGTGTGTGTGTGTGTGTGTGTGTGTGTGTGTGTGTGTGTGTGTGTGTGTGTGTGTGTGCCAGGTGGGGGCTGTCCAGTGTCTCGGTGGTACCGGTGCTTTGAAGATCGGCGCAGAATTCCTTAAACGCTTCTACAACGGGAATAACAACACAAAAACACCCGTTTATGTGTCTGCACCTACCTGGGGTACTTTGATTGAAAACGAACCGTTCATCCATTCATCCAAGGACTTTGCCTTGCAGAGACTTCTTTGGTCTCTTTGAAGTCTTTAGACTCAAACAGTCATAAAATTCTTTGTGTTAATAATATCCTGACACCATCACTTCTTATCTGTCCCCTTTTTTATCAATTGACATGTGAGGAAACACCAATAAAATGTGTCAACTGGAAGCTTAAGGAGTAAAAACAGCTGTCCTAGTCTTTGTTGATTGTTTGTTTCAGAAAATCACAATGATTTGTTCATCAGCGCCGGCTTCGAGGATATCCGTCCGTACAGCTACTGGGATGCAGAGAAGAGGGGGCTTGATTTTAGTGGGTTTCTGGGGAACTTGGAGGTATAAACCCTTGGATAATACTAAATTCAGGCCATCTTTATTCATTTGGGAGTTTAGATCGCCTCTTGTTCTCTGCAGAGTTGTCCGGAGCGCTCTATTTTTGTCCTGCATGCTTGTGCCCACAATCCAACTGGGACAGACCCCTCACAAGAGCAATGGAAGCAGATAGCTGAAGTCATGAAGGTGCTTTAAAAATACAAAACATCTACAAAGAAATACATTATCTGTTTTTAATTTTAATTTTAGACAGGGATCTGATGGCTTGTGTTTGTCTTTTCTCCAGAGGAGGAAGCTGTTTGTGTTCTTTGACTCAGCCTATCAGGGATTTGCCACGGGCAATCTAGAGAAAGATGCCTGGGCTGTCCGCTATTTTGTCTCCATGGGCTTTGAAATGTTTTGTGCTCAGTCCTTCTCCAAGAACTTTGGCCTTTACAGTGAGTGACCCCCTCAGTGGACTGAGAGAAGCACGCAGCATCCACAAACACTTCACGTTATATCTGATCTTTCTGAAGGGATGAATGCTTTAAATATAGTCATTCAAAAATCTTTTATTTGTCTACTAAGGATTTAAAGGTGTAGATCACAGAAAACCAATTTTAATGATTATTTCTGGTTATGATCAGTCACTCTGAGTTTCTCATACAGACTGAACCTGAAAACAGTCTCCTACACCTATCTCCTGCTTTAGCTTCTGATAGAAAATAGAAAATAGTGAAACTCAAGGATTTGAAAAGCCTGACAGATGTACATCACACCGTCACTGAACATTCGTGGACTCACTCATCGTTACTCACATCGGTGACGGCTGTTGTTTTAGCGTCCGGGAATCAGCAGAGTACATCTTGACTAGCAGAAGCTAACCATTAGCATTAGCAGCTTCACCACACGACATAAGCTCTTCCAGGCTTGTGTTGTTTGTTGAGATAAAACACCCACGTTGAAAGTCAGTGGTAGAGTCACGTTGCTGTTAACCAATAAGAGGCGAGATGTCAAAATATCAGGAAACAAGACTACAAAAAGCTCAGCTGTGATGTGGCTCACTTTTAGTTCCTAGAAATTGTGCATCGGTAAACTTTTTCCCCCTGAGAAAGACTTACAAGGCATTAATTTCTACTAGAGACCACTGCGAATGTATTGATGAAACAAGTGTTACACTACTTTAGGAAAATATCGATACACTGGAATATTGTACTATTTCATGTTGTGATAATGAATCGATTTTTAAAAGCAGGGTGTCGCCGGTTTTTTATTGAGAATGTCCATACTAACGTTTGCTGTGTTTCTTTTACGTGGTGTAATTCCAACTCCGACAGCTAGATGGCAGCAGATTTTACCACCTTTAATCTGATGGAACAAGATCTCCTGGTAACACTTAGTGTTTCTTTTAAGCATTTGGTCTAAGTTTTAAAATTAAATTCAGTCTTAAAAATAGCAAATATTGTCTGGCTTTTAGTATCGCAATACCATATTTAGTATCATATCACCAGATTCTTACAGATTACACCCCGCCCGTGCTTACCAAGATTATAAAAGTCTGTTAATTGAGTCCTAGTGTTTTCTAAAACTTTTGGCTTTTTTTCTTTAAAGCAGCAGCAGTGAAACGGCAGCATGCTTCATTGTGGTTGTCCCATCAGATGAGCGCGTGGGAAACCTGACGATCGTT